ACTGTGGGCTTAAATTACAGAGGAGCCAAAAGAACATTACAGAGGGAAGAGAGATTAGTTGAACCCCATCGCCTTCCCCACATACATACAGATCAGAATCAGGTTTGCAGCATTCGCCTCTCCTTCAAGCTTTGAAAGCACAGAGGGAAAGATGCAGGTGTCTGGTTGTATCGGTCGATGGGGCAAGAAGTATAACCATCACCACGCCGGTGCAGGGCTGTGGTCTGTCCAGTTCAGTACCCTGTAGACACTGCCAGAAGTTAAGCTACTGGGAAATTATGACTTAACCTCCTCCTAAAGGAGGGTTACTCCTGCTCCTTGGCAATTCCACCCTGAAGCATCAGGATTTATAGCTGTCAAGTATTCAAACCTCTGACACACACAGACCTTCTCCTCACCAATGTCATTGTCTAACCCTTTGTGAAATCCAGCCAAAAAGTCCAGGTACAACAATCCTGCAAGGGCAAGGTGTCCCACAGGTTAATTATGTCCTAGGCAAAGAGTATTTCTTGTGTTTGTTCTGAAATATCAAACATTGATTTGCTGGTCTATTATAAGAGAGGGCACTGGAGTAGATAAGAATTTGCCCTCTTTGTAGCAAATTCACTATTTAAATCTACTTCTATCCCATCCCCTCCTACTCATCTCCAAAACAGGCTACCTCAGTTAACTCCTATGGAAATCCTTCCAGAAATCACCATTCTAGCAATGATCTTCCCCCCACCCCTTATACCTGGTATTTTTCTGAAAAAGGTCAAACTACCGGGATGAGGAGATTCTCAACTTTCCTTTAAAATAATTTCTAACCTTTGTGTTTGCAGAGAAAAGCTGGAAAATATGAAGCAGGAAGGCTCAAAAACCAGAAGGCAAACAACAAGCACCCAGCTTTTATTAGGTTTCAAAAGTATTTTAAGTCATTTCACGATCTGAGGCTGGAGAGGATTTCTGAACATTTGGAGGTGGCAGACCTTTGTGTGTTGAGGGTAGACCTCCTTCAGACCAATTCACAGATGATAAGCTCAAACAAGCACTGTTTATAAGTAGCTGGAAGCCAAATACATCTAAGCTAGTAAGCACTTTCTTCATCACACCTTTTTCTCCATCTACTCCCACTGTTCCCTTCATGCTCCCTTCACTGGTGCCCATGCTGGTGGGGACAGTCTTCATGAACCAAGGACCTCCATGCTCTCTTCCCAACTCCAACAACTGCTTTGCCTATGCTGCCTTTGCAGAGTCACTGGCTCTGCCTTATGTCTGAGCCAGTGACGCCCCCTCCCCTCCAACCCCCATCTTCTGCTATCCAGGTTAGATTTAAATGCATCCAGGCCAGAACTATCATTTGGATTCTATAAAGCATCCTTAATAAACACCATCAGCGATTTCCCAGGGAACACATGGCAGCTGTTTAACCGCTATTCAGCCTTAAGGTCTCACTCCAGATGCTCAACACAGTGAGACTAAGGTGGGTACAAAGGAGAGGTAACAGCCATCAAATGGGCTCATCTCACACGGAAAATGCAAGGTCCCACTACTCAGAAGAGGCCCAGGACTGGAATAGTGAGAAGTGCTGCCAGCCAGGATTGAAATGCATTGGCATAACCCATTGCAGCGAGTCTAGACCTGCTACAGCAGAGTGTACCACAGCAGCACTTCTCAACCTGTGAGTCGTGACCCACAAGTAGGGTGCAAGAATATATGAAAGGATTGCGAACAAACTTTAAAAATGGATTCTCCTTTAAAAGAGAAAAACCTGGGAAACTGTGGCAGGCCTTTCCCTTGCAGGCTGGCAGAGATCTAGCCTGCAAGGGACTGCTTGAGGTCCCCCATGCCCCAAACATACCCCTCTACCCCACACCCACCCCCTGCTCCACACACTGCGGGGGCTGGGGGCAGCAGGTCAGGAATGAGGGGCGCTGGGTTGGGACTGGCCATCACCGTTTACAAATGGGTCGTGGTGCAAAAAAAGGTT